AAGACTTCTAAATTTATTTATTTTCACATCAGGCACTTAATGAAAATATTAGTAGTTATCTTAACTTATCATAGAAGTCATTTTTACTTATTTTCACTTATTGTCACTTAATTTAGGTTAATTTTTCATTATTTTTTACTGTTTAAAATTGATAAAAGACGAAAGATGTTTCTGTCATAGGGTTTTGTAAAACATCTTTGAATTAAAAAAAATATAAGAATGTTGCGTTTTCTGTTTTTTGTTTGGATATTTTCATGGTTCCGATTTTATATATCTATGTATATATATATATATTTCTGAATATTGCGATTTTTTTCGAATTATCTAAATTTCCTAAATTCTCTGGATTTTCTGAAATTTTTGAATTTTCTGAATTTCAGAATTTTCATATTTTTTTGTTTTTTTTAATTGTCTGAATTTTCTGAATATTCTGAATTTTCTGAATTTTCTGAATTTCCTGAATTTTCTGAATTTCCTGAAATTTCTGAATTTTCTGAATTTTCTGAATTTTCTGAATTGTTGAATTTTGTGAATTTTCTGAGTTTTCTGAATTTTGTGAATTTCCTGAGTTTTCTGAATTTTCTGAATTTTCTGAATTTTCTGTTTTTTTCTAAATTTTCTGAATTTTCTGAATTTTCTGAATTTTCTGAAATTTTCTGAATTTTCTGAATTTTCTGAATTTTCTGACTTTTCTGAATTTTCTGAATTTTCTGGGTTTCTGAATTTTGTGAATTTTCTGAGTTTTCTGAATTTTGTGAATTTCCTGAGTTTTCTGAATTTTCTGAATTTTCTGAATTTTCTGTTTTTTTCTAAATTTTCTGAATTTTCTGAATTTTCTGAATTTTCTGAATCTTCTGAATTTTAGATTTTTTTTAATTTTCTGACTCTTCTGAATTTTTAAAATTTTCTGATTTTTTTGTTTTTTCCGACTTTTCAACATTTTCAATATTTTCTTCATTTTCTACATTTTCTCATTTTCAAAATTTTCTGACGTATATACATTAAAAATAATAAATTTGTTACCTTCTGTATGTTTAAGCATTATAAATTTTCTCAGTAAGTTACTTTTCTCCATTTATTTCTATTACAATCTTTTTTTGAGTGGTGTGTATTGTTTCCATGTCCATCAATGTTGAAAACTGACAAAAAACATATTTTTACTTATTTTCGCTTCTTTTCCCTTATTTCAACTTATTTTTGAATAATATTCCACTATATTTACTTATATGTTCATTATTATGTTACAAGTTCACCTAAACGATTAGTGGAACTTAAAACAAAAAAATAAAAAAAAACAATTTAAACAAGATATTAGCAAGATAATAGCAACTTATAATATACTTATAACTTCATTAAGTGCCTGATGTGAAAATAAATAAATTTAGAAGTCTTAGTGGGGTTGAAAGCCATTGAATGAGGACCTGCTGCTTCAGAAATATATTCCTTATTCCCGAGAGCGCCTGAGAAGGGTTCTTCGTAAAAAAAAGCAGCCGTTATAATACATCTTCACACCCTCACATCTGCTGATCTACATCTTCACACCTTCACATCTGCTGATCTACACCTACACACCTTCACATCTGCTGATCTACATCTTCACACCCTCACATCTGCTGATCTACATCTTCACACCCTCACATCTGCTGATCTACATCTTCACACCCTCACATCTGCTGATCTACATCTTCACACCCTCACATCTGCTGATCTACATCTTCACACCTTCGCATCTGCTGATCTACATCTTCACACCCTCACATCTGCTGATCTACATTTCACACCTTCACATCTGCTGATCTACATCTTCACACCCTCACATCTGCTGATCTGCATCTTCACACCCTCACATGTGCTGATCTACATCTTCACACCCTCACATGTGCTGATCTACATCTTCACACCTTCACATCTACTGATCTACATCTTCACACCCTCACATCTGCTGATCTACATCTTCACACCTTCACATCTGCAGATCTACTTCCTCTTCCTCGTTCACATCTGCAGATCTACTTCCTCTTCCTCGTTCACATCTGCGGATCTTCTCTCGCTCTTCTTTCTATCTCTCTCTTACGGCGGGGGCGATCCCGCCGGAGCGCCACGAAACGCAACCCTTTCGCACGAAATGGACGTTGGACGTCAAAAACTGCGGTAAAATTGCGATTTTGAGGTGTCCAACGCAACCTTTTCGCACGAAATGGACGTTGGACGTCAAAAACTGTTTTGAGGTGTCCATCGCAATCCTTTCGCACGAAATGGACGTTGGACGTCAAAAACTGCGGTAAAATTGCGATTTTGAGGTGTCCAACGCAACCCTTTCGCACAAAATGGACGTTGGACGTCAAAAACTGCGGTAAAATTGCGATTTGGAGGTGTCCATCGCAATCCTTTCGCACGAAATGGACGTTGGACGTCAAAAGCTACGGTAAAAATTGGAGGTGTCCATCGCAATCCTTTCGCACGAAATGGACGTTGGACGTCAAAAACTGCGGTAAAATTG